CTCTGCACTCGTGAGACCCCACCTGGAATACTGTGTCCAGCTTTGGAGTCCTCAACACAGAAAGGACATGGACCAGCTGGAACAGGTGCAGCGGAGGCCACAAAGATGATCAGAGGGATGGAGCACCTCTCCTATGAAGACAGGCTGAGGGAGCTGGGATTGTTCAGCCTGGAGAAGAGAAGGCTCCGGGGAGACCTTATAGCGGCCTTTCAATATCTGAAGGGTGCCTATAGAAGAGCTGGGGAGGGACTCTTTGCCAGGAAGTGTAATGATAGGACAAGGGGAAACGGTTTTAAATTGGAAGAAAAAAGATTCAGATTAGATCTCAGGAAGAAATTTTTTACTATGAGGGTGGTGAGACACTGGAACAGGTTGCCCAGGGAAGTTGTATATGCCCCATCCCTGGAAGTGTTCAAGACCAGGCTGGATGGGGCTTTGAGCAACCTGCTCTAGTGGGAGGTGTCCCTGCCCATGGCAGGGGGGCTGGAACTCGATGATCTTTGAGGTCCCTTCCAAGCCAAACCATTCTATGATTCTAAGCCTGAGCCTGTCAGCATGCTGGGTCTAAGGCTGTGAGGGGGCTAGATTTCTGTGTGCACCCCTCAGCTGGGGGGAGGCTGAAGGTAGTGTGATTGAGTGCACCCTCAGCACGATGATCTTAAAGATCCTGTCCAACCTAGATAATTTTATGATTCTAAGTTTGCCCATGACACCAAGCTGCGGTTGACGTGCTGGAGGGAAGGGCTGCCATGGACAAGGGATGTCCAGGATGACCCAGAGAGGCCTGAGAGGCAGGCTCATGGCAACCTCATGAATTTCAATGAGGCCAAGTGCAAGGTCCTGCATGTGGGTTGGGGCAATTGCAAGCATAAATACAGGTGGGGTTGAAAACAGATTGAGAGCAGCCCTGAGGAGAAGGACTTAGGGCTGTTGGTTGATGAGAAGCCAAACATGGGCTGGCAATGTGTGCTTTCAGCCCAGAAAGCCAACAGTATCCTGGGCCACATTGGAAGAAGCGTGGCCAGCTGGTCGAGGGAGGTGATGCTGCCCCTCTACTCCGCTTTCGTGAGACTTTACCTAGAGTCTATTAGTAGACTTCATATTCCACCCACAGAAGTCTATGAGAATATGCAGTATGTTCTGTCTCTTATTTGAAGTAGTCTTTTGAAAGTTGATATATTTTGTGTCGTAAAGGTACAGAATTGGTAAAAGCCTGATTATGGAGCATGATGAGGCTGGTGAGGCACAGGAACAGGTTGCCCAGAGAAGTTGTGGATGCCACGTCCCTGGAAGTGTTCAAGGCCAGGCTGGATGGGACTTTGAGCAACCTGGTCTAGTGGGAGGTGTCCCTGCCCATGGCAGGGGGGTTGGAACTCGATGGTCTTTAAGGTCCCTTCCAGCCTGAACAGTTCTATGCTTCTATGTGAATAAGCCCTGCTAAACCTGAACTTTCAGGGTGAGCTTTTTATACAGAAGACTGTTCCAAAGAGAAATGCCACCTGGTAGTCAGGCTGTCATTTCTTGTTACACCTAGCAGCAGTGTTGGAGAGTTGAGTTGACTCAGTATTGTGGATTAGAAGAGTTGAATGTTTAGTACTCCCTCATACCTAATGTATAAATTGAAAAGTGTAAAAGTATTTTAGAATGGCAGTTGAATGTAGTGTATAACAGTTTGTTGGGGTTTTTTTTAGGTGGCCGTGAGCAGTGATGCATTCTTTTGTTGTAGCATGAACTTTTAATCTGATTTTTAGCTTCTTAACTGTGCAGTTATGGGCGGTTTTAGAGGTGATTGTTTGCCCTTTGATAGGTGGTACAGACAAGATGGACTCAGATTCAGCTCCTCCATGCTGCTGTGATGCTGAGATTTTGCACCTTCAACCACTGTCACTTGTCACGTTCTGTGGTTTGCAATGCACTCTTTCTTGTTGTGTTAGCACCAGACATCAGGCTACATTCTTGCTTTTGCTGCTGTTGATGCTGTGTAGTTCATAGTTGTTTTGGAACAGGGTCTCGTGGGAATATTCAAGGCATGTCTTTTCTTTTTAAAAATTTGCCAATTAATTTAGTTTGCTGTTTCCACGGTGTTACCTTCAGACAAGAGAAGGATTTTGGTTTATTGTTCAGATAAACTTTCTGACTGCTGGGTTTTTATGCTGAAGTTCTTCCCCTCTATGAAAGTCAATGCTGATGCTGGTCTCTCTGTCTAGCTGGGCTACATAAAGCTGCAGGACATCAGGGAAATGCATATAGTTACATTTTCTGAAATAGCAACCTTGGGGCAGCTTTGTCAGAGGTGGTAGATGTAAGTTAAACATACCTCTCAGATGCAGGCACGATTGGGAATTGAACTTGTCCTATTTGGTGACCCCCACAGCTTTTTACATCTTTGTGAACCTGTCTCTTTATTTCAGTAAGTGATTATCTCTGATCTGTTGGGATAAAAGTTGCATGAGGGGGAAGGGGATGTCTACTAAGCAACTGTAGGCAGTTTCAGCTTACCCAAAACTCGGTGTTTTTTCCTAATGATTTCAACAGTTTCCAGTATGTAATATGAAACGTGTGGATTCTATAGAAAAGCCTCATATAGTTACTTGGATATATATTTACATTTAATTGTGGGGGAAAGCATGGAGTTCTAGAAGGCATCCTGTAAACAGCTGGATCCCTGTGTGAAGCAGGGGGATAGTAACACTGATTCTACACTACTTGTGGAGTAGGAATATGTTCTCGCATAACTTATGCCACTATAATTCACTCCAGCTTTTCAGTTGTTGATTGTTTTTTGGTTTGTTTTGTAGGGTTTTTGTGTGTGTGGTTTTTTTTTTCTTTTTGTTTTTGGAAGGAAGGTTGATCAGAGCTTATATGCAGCTGGTATGCAGCTAAGCAGTTTAGACTGGTAGGAAAAAAAGCACAGGAAAAATTACACTGTGATGGATAAGCCTTAGGGTTAGAACTGATAACCCCGTTACTGGCCTTAGGGGAGAGCAGGAAGGATAAAGCCTCTAGTGGTGCTGTAGAAAAGCAGCCTGTTTGGAAGGTAGAGAAGTTTAGAGCTAAGCAACTGTAGGCAGTTTCAGCATACCCAAAACTTGGTGGTTTTTCCTAATGATTTCAGCAGTTTCCAGTATGTAATATGAAACATGTGGATGCTATAGAAAAGCCTCATATAGTTACTTGGATATATATTTACATTTAATTGTGGGGGAAAGCATGGAGTTCTAGAAGGCATCCTGTAAACAGCTGGATCCCTGTGTGAAGCAGGGGGATAGTAACACTGATTCTACACTACTTGTGGAGTAGGAATATGTTCTCGCATAACTTATGCCACTATAATTCACTCCAGCTTTTCAGTTGTTGATTGTTTTTTGGTTTGTTTTGTAGGATTTTTGTGTGTGTTTTTTTTTTCTTTTTGTTTTTGGAAGGAAGGTTGATCAGAGCTTATATGCAGCTGGTATACAGCTAAGCAGTTTACACTGGTAGGAAAAAAAGCACAGGAAAAATTACACTGTGATGGATAAGCCTTAGGGTTAGAACTGATAACCCCGTTACTGGCCTTAGGGGAGAGCAGGAAGGATAAAGCCTCTAGTGGTGCTGTAGAAAAGCAGCCTGTTTGGAAGGTAGAGAAGTTTAGAAAATTTGAATAAGGGGCTGTGTGAAAGATGTAGTTTTATAACAATTTCCTGTTGTTGCTCAGCACAGATGTATTGAGTTTGAACTTCAGCTTTAAAAAAGTCAGTAACTGTAACCGTCTAGTTTAAAATAATGAATGAATTCTATTTACTGGGGCATTTCAGTTGTATTCAGGGATAAGAAATAGGAAAATCAGTTAATCTTTCTCCTCTTTCTGACATATATTACTTCTTTGAGGCTATTGTTCAGAATTGTTGCTTCAGAACTTCTTAAAACATAGCTGCATTAGAACTATTTTTAGTTAATTGCTTTGTTATTGAAAATACAAAAGTGTTTCGCCCCAGGACACCCCTTCTTCTCAGGTACTATTTTGCTTAATTTAAGCCAACAGATAAATATAAAAAAAACTTTTCCTCAGCTTGCATTTACCTTTAAAAGCTGTTGTTGCTTCTGTGTCAAACTAAAGAACGGCTTCTGTGTTGATGCCTGACTATTTTCTAAATATGTCAATTTAAAAACAGAGAAATTACCAGAACAAACAACAAAAACCAAAAATCCTTGCAAGACCCAACAATCTATTTTGATAGAAGTGGAAATCCACCTTTCATAATGCCACTAGGTGTCACTGACAGACTAGCCAGGCTCTAACTCTTTTATTTGCTGTGGGAATGTGTCATTTCAACCTCAGCAACCTACACAGTATACTTCTGTTGTGTATATTTTGGGGGTGATGCTGTTTCTAATGTAAAATAGTAACATAAATTGTGAAATAAGTTTTGTTGAGGTTGTTGCTCAAAATGTGTGAATTTTATATCTGGTCTTATTTTAAACGTAGCATTGATAAGTTGCCTGAAACGCAGTTGCTGGTGCTATTTGTGTCCCATTCTTCCTTTGTAATGGTTTGTTATGTGATGCTTGATAAAAATGGAAGCTTACTATTTTCTGTCAAAAATAATTTGTTAATTTTTTTTTTTTAGGGAGATATTTGTGAACCTGATTTTATAAAACAGCTCTTCGAAACTGAGAAAATAGATATAGTCCTTCATTTTGCAGCCCAAACACATGTAGGTAAGCATTGTTGCACATTTTGCTATATTTTCCATCAATATACTTTTTTGAAATATATACTGATTATACTGATATTGTTGTCTTTTTCCTTCGTATAAAACAAGGATACAGTTTGTCTCTACAAACTACATGATTCAATGTCTAGTGGCCTTTTTAACTTAAACAGGTTCACAGCCTTAATTTAAAAAGTGCTTCATCTGACTGTTGTCTGTTTTCATTGCACATAAATGGTAATGCCTTTTTTTTTTTTTTGGTGCATCACAGTTTTAAATTCCATCTAGACACACAGGTGACTGACAGTGTACTGGTGGAATCATGAAGACAATGGAGAAAGAATTTGTATATAGCCCTTTTTCCCTGATTGGTTCCAGCCTTGCAGGAAAAAACACAGTGTGGAAGCTGAAGGATTAGGCATAGCTCCCTTCAGAATCCTGCTTGGAATCTAAAAAGAGAGAATGAATTACACTTAAAAGTGCCTATTTCAGATTACCACTCTTCAGTAACACTGGAGAACTATCCCTACTGCACTCCTTTCTTCACGAGAAGAAATCCTCAAAGAGTTCTCCAGGAAAGTGCTTCTCAAAGTAGTCAGATTTGATATGCTCAAAGTCATTAGGTCAGTGGGACAATTCTAAGAATTAAAACGGGTGCTAGTTAATTAACAGTAATAGGTATGTAATAGTGCATCTTACATCTGTCTAATACTTTTCTTAGTGAGCTTGGCCCTTCCTAGTGGTGGTGGGGCAATAGTTATGCTGCCGCCTAAGTAAAATTAAATCATGCTGTTTCAAATGGAACCATCCCCAGCCAACAAGCTCCCGATTCCAGCCTCTTGTCGAGAGCAAGGATTTTGTCTTCAAGTAAGTGTAGAAAGTGTCTTCATTTAATTTATTCACCTTGCTATCTGACAATCAAAGAACTAAAGTCCCAGTCTATATTGCAGCCTCTAATGTTGCGGTTCAATAGGAAGCCTAAATTTAATTAGAATTGTTTGAAATTTTTTTTTTAAATGCAGATCTTTCATTTTGGCATGCCCTGGAATTCACCTATGTGAATGTCTATGGCACTAACGTGCTGGTTGCTGCTGCGCATGAAGCCAACGTGGAGAAGTTTGTCTATGTCAGTACAGATGAGGTGTACGGAGGTAGCACTGATGAGGTGAGTTTGAAAGTGCATGAGGGTTTTTTTTAGCTTTACTTGCCTTTAATAGTGGGGAAAAAAAAAAGAATCTAACTTTTCATAGTCTCTGTAAATGTATGACTTTCATGCTATTTCTGACAATACTGTAACTTGTAAACAAGCTAAAAAGAATCTAACTTTCCATGGTCTCTGTAAATGTATGACTTTCAAGCTGTTTCTGACAATACTGTAACTTGTAAACAAGTGCTAGTTGTTTCTAGAAAACTAAGTATCAAAATTGTCCTGATTTTTTTTTTTTAGTTTGTTTTATAGACTTTCAAGCTGTTTCTGACAATACTGTAACTTGTAAACAAGTGCTAGTTGTTTCTAGAAAACTAAGTATCAAAATTGTCCTGATTTTTTTTTTTTAGTATGTTTTATATTGAATATGTATTACCCAAAGGAGTGAGTTTGGGGTCATTAATGACATGCGAATACTCCTCAGAGATAGTATCAAAGGAATGTATTCTACAAATCTTGCCTTGGAGCATTTGTGAAACTTCAGTAATGTGCACAGTATGCTGTTCTTTTATTTTTCTTTTATTTTTTTTAATTTTTCCTGGTCTGCCTTGACTATAAACTTGACAGGCAGGGAACTGTTTTGTACTCTAGATAAAATACTAAGAGAACTGTTAGTAGGTTGATTGTCAGTAGGTATTGACAATTTGAACAGGGAACAGTTCCCGTATTACCGGAAGAAATATGCAGATGTTTCTTATTATTCCTGACCTTAATTCAGGAAATGTAATTTAGCTCAGTAAAAAGGCAAATTATGCATGCTTATCTTTCCTTGGCTGCTATTTACACCTTTAGAGTCTTGTGCCATAATCCATGACAATACTACTCTATTTCAGAAAAATCATGTGCATTTTCTTGTTCTTGCAATGTCTTTATCAGTTCCTTCGACACAACTTCAATTTGTAGGCTTTTATGATACCCAAGGATGTTGTTTTCCTGCATGTAGACTAGTGGTTTGGCTGAGACAACTTCAAGTGAGCTGCTTCTGCCACTGGGCTGTGAAAAGAGCACTTCCATTTAATTGGTTCTTTGTTCTCTTTGTGGATCACAGTAGAAGTTCTTTTTTTTTTCCCCTTTTGGGAGGGGGAGAATGTCAACAAGTAAATTCAGGTCAATTAATTTCAGAGGCAAAGGTCAGAAAAGGTCAGTGAGCCTTTAATCACGTGTTAAGGTGATTGTTAAGATTTGCATCTCAGGCAGTGTAGAATTCCTCCTTTCTTTGGGTAGTTATTGTATTTCCCCCCTTCCTCCTCTCGCAAGTGAGAGGTAGATAGAAGTGGCAGGATAGCCATGAAGCTACCTCTTCTGGAACAGGTCAGAATTGTTGAAACCTTGCTTTGGAGCACTTTTCTACTTTTCTTCTAGAAATAAAATTTATAGAAAAGAGAGAATGGACCCCTTTATCTAGGACTGAAAGGTTAATTTGCTGGCTCGGGTGCAATGGTGCTCTGAGTCAATAGGACCCTGAAAAAGATTGAACCTCCCTGTGGTTACAGTACAAGATCAAAATCTAAGGACCTGCTACCATGAGGTGCTCTGCTAGGACTATAAAAACTGTCTTTTATTATTGGTCTTCTGCTGTAAGTGGAAGAGTGACTTTCTCAGACAGGTGTACTTGGATATTTAGGGATTTTTATTTCAGTTGCAACTGTAGCTTTTGTGACTAACAAGGCAAAAGAAATTGAGTAATTCAAATTTTTCCTTTTCATTTCAGGAATTTGATGAATCCTCACCAAAACGTCCAACAAATCCCTATGCCTCCTCTAAAGCAGCTGCAGAGTGTTTTGTTCAGTCGTACTGGGAAAGGTACCAAGTAAGTTGATGGAAGCTTCAAAAACTCTGAAGTCCATGCTTAAGTGTCTATATTATGTATATAAGAGTATAAAAGAAAAAAATCGGTACTAGTCCACCCAGTGCTACTTCTTTCCTGATTGCTAATCTTGTAGGTTGGATGTGTCGGAGAATGTCCACCCCTTATTGGTGGAGTTACACTGCAAGACAGTGGGGAGGTCAAATGTTTTGAACTTTTTTTGAAAATCTGAACTGTAATGTCTTTAAATGTTCTTTGATAATGGTGAAAGAGAACACTAGCAAATTAGAAAACAGTGTTAAGCTTAAAGGTAATCTGCTTATAGAGAAGTAGAATATGCAAAGTTCAAATTGTATTAAGATTAGGCTTATAGGGAAAGCAAAAAAAAAAAAAGGAAAAAATCCTATTACTCATGTTTGTTTAAGCAAAAATATTTAAAATTTTGAATACCTCAGGTTAGCTCTTGCAAATGTTGTTTTTGACGTAAAACTGACTTGAATAAGATGTTAAAGTCTGTGAAACATTTTCTTGGAATAAGTAGTAGTAAGTCAGTCTTCAGTCAACCAGATGTGTGTATGTAACATCCTATGGTGCTTCCCTAGCAAGACTGAGAGATTACAAACATTTGTCAGGTGTGATGCTTCTAACAGACTGAGCAGGCTGGAGACCCTGCCTGTTTGATGGAAGTACGTTTAATTTATTAATGTTTGTAAGGGTGTGCAGGTTTTTGAGTAAGCACTGTGGGTGTGTCAGTTTATTATTTATTGGTCAGTAGCAAGCCTATAGATTTTTACTGGTATATATTTTCGTATGTAATCACATGCATGTTTAATGCTCTTCAGTTCCCTGTTGTTATCACACGGAGCAGTAATGTTTATGGACCACACCAGTATCCAGAAAAAGTAAGTTAAACCTGTGCTTTATCCTGAACTTCAGTATGCCATAATTTAGGGGTGTAGCGATGTTACTTTTTTCTTATAAGAATGGACTGACTTGTGAAAAAAGAACTGCCTTACAGGTGTGTTTGTTCACACTCACCTGTGGTTATATATTTTGATCTCACACTAACATCTTACCATCAACACAATGAACAGGTGTGTTTTGGTTATCAGTAAAGTATCAATTAGAGATTTCTATTTATTTATGTGAATTTTACTACAATGCTTTTGTTTTGTAATTTTTTTTTAGTTTTCAAAGGATATTTAACTACCCTCTATCTGGCAGGGTTCCTCTACAAATTATATTTACTCACATGTCGTGTGCGGTAGTTAGGAATATTTAATAACTAAGGTAAACATTTAAAACAGTAAACTGTGAGAGAGCAGTATGTCTGGTACAGAAAGAGATGTTCCAGCCTGTAGAGAAAATAGGTAAGGTAAAGCTATAACAATCAGATATATGGTGAGAAATAGTACAAAGTAACTTATTCTTTGTATTTCCTCACATAGCTTGCAGGGGAACTATTTAAAATGATTATTAGTGAGAGGGAGTTGCCTTTGTAGGCAATACCACGATCTGCTGTGCTAGTAAATGGAATGATAGTGATAATCATACGTAATCTTTGGAGTTCGGAGCTTGTGCGAAATGCAGCTGCATTTTTCAGTTCTAGTGAGGTATTTTTAAATCTGAATTGCTTTTTATATATTGGGGTTTTTTTTCAAATAAATTTATTTTTCCCTACATTGTGGCAGGTGGATAAGCAAGGGTTTTTAAAATGTCTTTCACTGATTTGTGACTTGGGAAACGTCTGGCTACAGGTTGCATGATGTTGAGAAGTCTGTTCAGGGGATGTATCGCTGTTCACTTGCTTTCAGCTTATAGATATTCCTCCTCAAGTATCTACTTTTAGTTACTGCTAAGACCACAATACTAGGCTATATGGATTTTTAGTTTAGATCTTTAGTATGGATCTTTAGCTCCCATGTTTAGAGTGGTAAGTTAACAAAGCTAAAAGAATCCGAATAGCTTTCTAATTGTTTCAGTTTTAAAACTTTAATAGCAGGGCCAACTCTTCTGAAGTTTCTGGGACACTATGAATGGGTCTAAGCTTATAGCTGAATATAATACTGTAAATCTTTATGCTCCAAGCTAGTGGCTTGTAAATACTGATTTGTAATGGTTGACCAGAAAGATAAGCTTTACAACACAACAGAGGCATCTACTCTGAAAAAAACGCAAACAACGCAAATCCTTGCAGTTCCTAGGCTTGATACGTTCTTTGATTAGACTTAAGAGAACTTGAAAGTTTTTAAAGGGTCTTATCAAAACACTTAATACTTACTGGTGAAACCCCATGTTCTTTGCAGAAAAACAGCTTCTAAAATAGCAGAGTAATTTTTTTTTTTTCTGTGTTCAATTCCTTAGGTTATTCCAAAGTTTATATCTTTGTTGCAACAGAACAGAAAATGGTAAGAATAGCTTTCTAATGGTTTCAGTTTAAAAACTTTAATAGCGAGGCCAACTGTTCTAAAGTTTCTGGGACACTATGAATGGGTCTAAGGTTCACTTGCTTTCAGCTTATAGATATTCCTCCTCAAGTATCTACTTTTAGTTACTGCTAAGACCACAATACTAGGCTATATGGATTTTTAGTTTAGATCTTTAGTATGGATCTTTAGCTCCCATGTTTAGAGTGGTAAGTTAACAAAGCTAAAACTCCCGTGTTTAGAGTGGTAAGTTAACAAAGCTAAAAGAATCCGAATAGCTTTCTAATTGTTTCAGTTTTAAAACTTTAATAGCAGGGCCAACTCTTCTGAAGTTTCTGGGACACTATGAATGGGTCTAAGCTTATAGCTGAATATAATACTGTAAATCTTTATGCTCCAAGCTAGTGGCTTGTAAATACTGATTTGTAATGGTTGACCAGAAAGATAAGCTTTACAACACAACAGAGGCATCTACTCTGAAAAAAACGCAAACAACGCAAATCCTTGCAGTTCCTAGGCTTGATACGTTCTTTGATTAGACTTAAGAGAACTTGAAAGTTTTTAAAGGGTCTTATCAAAACACTTAATAACATTTAATAAACCCCATGTTCTTTGCAGAAAAACAGCTTCTTACTGGTGAAACCCCATGTTCTTTGCAGAAAAACAGCTTCTAAAATAGCAGAGTAATTTTTTTTTTCTGTGTTCAATTCCTTAGGTTATTCCAAAGTTTATATCTTTGTTGCAACAGAACAGAAAATGGTATGTAATTTGCTTTTTTGTTTGTGATACTTATGTTATAAAACTGTAATTACAACTATAAATAAGTGGCATAGTGTATAAAATGATAATTTCATAACTAAGCTATGAATCATTTATTTTACTAATAGGTTTTCCCTAAACTAAAGAATTATTTGCATGTCAGCTACTTAAGGTACCAGCAAAGCTGCTTAAAACACAGTCTAATAAATTGAATGCTTCTATTTAAGGATTAACAAAATTTTCTTGCCTTTTCCTGGTTTTAAGCTGTATTCATGGTTCTGGACTTCAAAGAAGGAACTTCCTTTATGCAACTGATGTGGTAGAAGCATTCCTAACTGTCCTGAAGGAGGGGAAGCCAGGTGAAATTTATAACATTGGAACTAACTTTGAGATGTCCATTGTCCAGCTTGCTAAGGAGTTAATCCATTTGGTGAGTAGACAGCTATGATGCTTTTCTTTACCAGCCATTGCACCTATGGACAATTACACTATAAACCTTTTGTAGCTCCAAGAGAGCTTAGGTTTGTGGTGGATCTTGGAAGATAATTGAAGCAGAACAACAGGCTACCCTTTCTGTGGCAGCTCTATTGTGTAAGTTTGTAGTACAGGCTATCATGTGTTGCACTGCTGCATCGTTTACCCTGACGTGGGACAAAACTGGCATAATGATTAAATACGTTTCAATAGGGTTTTTTCATGCTGGCTGCTTCAGTTTTGTTCTGAGAACGTGGCACTATTAAAATCTAACAACTTGTTAGGCAGTGCTCAGGTGAAGGACAAGTATTGGAATTGTTCTAGGTAGTTTTGATAATTTTGTAGTTTGAAAACTCAGTTTAGACAAAAGACCATTTCTGTTTGTGGGTTGGTTTTTTTTTAACAGACTTAAATACTGTTTTTAAAAAATTATTTTTAAAAAATGATCTGTTTTTAAATGTATGATAAAACAGTGCAAGATGGGAGTAATTTTTGTTTCTTTTTGACAGATAAAGAAAACCAGTTCGGAGTCAGAAATGGAGCACTGGATGGATTATGTCAAAGACAGGTAAGAAAATAGTGAAGCACAGGCAGGATAGCTTTATCTGGAAGGCTTCTGGGGCTCTTGCCAAATATTTTTTTCTGGAGGTGTTTCTGCTCTGTAGGAAGGAAAACTTTTGAGGGGAGTAGGAGTGGTTTTGCTTTCTTCTTTTTTTTTGCTAGTGGATTTGACATCTTTGATCTGTTCAGAACACTGTATAGAAAAATAGGATTTCGATTTATTGTCAGGATCCTTAGGTCGGAGCGTATGTCTTGAAGGGGAATGTGTAATGCTAATCTGTCTGCCTTCTAACTTTCTTCAGGCAGGCTTTACACAGTAGCTAAATCTTTTTTCTTAAGGGTAGTTTAGGTAGTTTATTCAGTACTTTGTATTCAGTATCACTTGAGTGAGATGAATCCCACCATGTCTCATTTAGCTTTAGTGTTTTGACGTTAATGTCACTAGTTCAGACTTAGATATGCTTTATAGGTAAGACCCGCTCTCCACAGGCAGAAATATGCACCAACAGAGTGTAGTTAATTTTAGATTCCTATCTTAAGCTGAAACTATTACCTCAAAAGTAGATGTAAAACCCTGAGGTGCCAAAGTTAGGGTGGCGGCAAAAATGGATAGCTTTTATAAATATGCTTTTGCTGTGTGTTTGCGTCATTAATTTCAGGCTTGGTTTGGCTCTGTTCTTTTATCTTCATTTCTTTTCTGCAGCAACAATGAGTCTCTGCTTACTTTAGATATCACTCTTTGTCTCCAGAGTGATTACAAATGACGTATCTGCCGATAGCAGTTAAGTACTACGATGGCCTTTAGAATTCTCACTTTCTGTTCACATTTGGATTGTTATCGTGGCAACTGAAGTGTCTTTAAATGTACTAATTCTTGTTTTTAAAAGGAAGCGTTCCTCAGAATTGTATCTGAGTGTATGGCAGGGCTTTGAAGAAATTGCCTTTGGCTCACATGAAGCGAGTGTTCAGTAGGCCTCAGTGTAATTCAGACTGAGATGTTTCTTCATGTGTATTGGGCCCTGTCTGCTAATGTTTAAACGTAAACGGGCTTGGGAAAACTAACCACATAGGAATACATGTTTTAACGAGTGTTGAAGTCTTATAAAAGATTCTTAAAATACGTAACTAATGAGTATTTAACTCTATAATGAGTGACTTAAAGGTCACGAGGGTTACTTGCCATGGAAAAATTAGTTCGGCTTCTGCTTGAGATTAGCATGTTTTAGGAACGGTGATAAGTAGCTGGTTTCTGTCTGCACACGTAGCTTAACTACTGGGTGTGCTAGTGCCAGTAATGCAGGAATGCTGCACTAGACTACCTCACTGCCACATTGTGGAAGTGAAAATTTGTGCCGTGCTTTAAATGTAGAGAATCTCTTTCTGTGTTGAATCTTGCAGGCTGGGATTCTACATATTCAATATTATTAAGTTTGTGTAGCTAATGGGGCGCTGTAGCCATGATGCTTTGGAAGTCTGTGTATTTTGAATCTTGAAGTATGTGAAAATTTGTGGGCTTTCAGGATGAAAAATGTGAATGCTGATACTGGAGAACACTGGCTTGCGTAGTGACTGTCTGAAGAGTTGCAAATGTGCCGATTTGCACAATTGCATTGGCAGTGATTTGAGTTTTGCATTCATTTTTGTGCCAATAAGATATTAATTCATATTTATTCTAGTCAGGTCCAACTAGTGGACTGTACAGACTGGACTGTAAGGTTGTAGCTGCACTCAACTGCCGTGGTTTTTTTTGAAGGCAATATAATCTGTTCATGTTGATGAGGACTTTTCAAAAAGCATGCCTGGTGTTGGTTTGAAGAGGATGTGAGGTACTGCATGTCCAGTTAATGAAAAAGTCTAATCAAATTGTTTTCCATATGCATTTTATACTTCATCAGACCTACCAATGACCTGAGATACCCAATGAATTCAGAAAAAATGCACAACTTGGGATGGAGACCTAAAGTGCCTTGGAAAGAAGGAATAAAGAAAACAAGTAGGACTGATGGCTTTTACACTAATTGATGTAGAAGTGATAGGAGGGGGGAAAGTGGGGGGGACTGGTATATAGGTTAGTTAATGAGAGTTACAGTGAATTAATTTAACACTTCAATTTTACATAAAAATGTCTGCTTTTTAAGTACTGAATTTAACTGATTTAAAAAAGGGTTAATCACAATAAAGTAGCATCAGGTACTAGAATTAATTACTTTTTAACTCTAGAATAAGTCTTGAATAAAGAATTTAAAAAATCTAAACTAGATTTTTTTTTAATATTATAGGTTAAAATTTTACGTAATGAACTATTAGCATGTTGCTAGTCTTATGATATCTGTGGAATTTTTGCATTTCCCTGTTACCTCTGGTCAGCTTGACTCATCAACATTCTCTTCATACTAGTTGAATGGTACAAAGAAAACTTTCACAACTGGAAAAACTCCGAGAAAGCTTTGGAACCCTTTCCTGTGACAGATCCATTTGCACAGCTTGGTGATCCGTAGGGTGGCAGAGAACCTGAAGGAGTTTGTTCTACCTCACACAGTCTTTTCATCGAAGCCCACGATCAAGTGGCCACGCTGAACTCTTAATGTATTCAGGCTCCATGAACCAGGATGAATACAGAACTACAGCACGGCACAACTTCAGAAGGGTTTCAGCACTTTAGAAGTTGAACCTGTTAATTTCAGCCTTTGGTGCAATACTATATTCTCATTAGGTGTTGATTTTAAAGAACTGTACAGGATGAAGAATATTTATTATGCTATAAATTAGTGTAATGAAGTCAAATCTGCCTTAATAATAATTGTGATTACAGCTTTGGGACTTTCATTGGAATTTGTTTTAGTTCTGGAGTTGTTTAGTTCTTTATTAGTTTGTTTTTACAGTGTAATATATTATGTTTGTCACTTTAAAGAGTTGTATTTTATTTTTAATCAAGGAGGAAAATGCCGTGTTTCCTGGAGGGTATAAATCAGTTGATAAAAGCTAGATAGGGTACCCATACAGTTCAGTCCTTTTCTCTGTTGGTGCAGTATTACTTTCTGGAGGTGACTGATTAAACCATTGCCTACTCTATAACTGTAAATGCCCTTTTTAAGGGGGGTAGGGGTACAAGTGTCAAGAAATAGCAGGTGTTCTTGCTGAAATTTCCAGAGGCATTTTCTTTAAACTTTGCTCAGTTTTAGATGTCATCTGTTTACTGTATTACTGTCTTTTACATGTTAATTTCCTTTTCTTAACTGTAATTGTAACAAACTTGAAATACTGTAACACAGTTAACATTCCAGTGATGTTATTTCCTCTGATATGAAGGCTATTTATGGAGATAAATTTTAAACACTTCTTTTCTTGTGAAATGTGGTTTGGCAGACCTTATTCAAGGCAGTGTTTCATGATTTTTATTTTTTTTTTTTGATGGCAAACATTTTGAAGATGAAACAATATTTGAGTTTTACTGTAAAGTTTGGGAGGAAACTTCAGTTCTATAAACATGCCAATGGATCTTTTTCGTAGTTGATTTAGTAATAAAAGTTACAGTGTAACTGGTTTCTCTTGATGAAGTAAGCATGCTGAAAAAGTAGATGGTGGGGTGGGATGGTTTTTTTTTGTTGTTTGTTTTTTTGTAATATTTCTTAGTTCTTTGTGTATCCTGAAAAAATTATCTTCACTTTTTTAGCTTTGAGGTGGCAGGCATAGAAGGGAAAAGTCTTCTTAGTTTTATCGCTGGCTTCTGTACATGGCACAGTCTCAGACCCTTGTGTTGCCCCTCCATAAAGCTGATGGAAGCATAAGACTAGGATGCAGTGGTGTGCTTGGAAATTGCTGCGACTTCTAAACTCTCACAGAAGTTGGGAGTTAACTGTCAAAACACAAGTGTGTGCAGAAGTCCTTTCCTCTTCACTCTAAGGGCAGGAAGAATGGAGCTTGGGGCGTTTGCCTTAGCTTTGCCCCTGCTAAATTTTGGTAATAACTGAACGTAAAACTTGATACTGATCCATACAGACTTAGAGGTACTGCTCCCCAAGCACTCCCAGCTTCATCTCACGTTCTTGGGACCCACAGTGCTCCCAACTTCATCTCATCTTCTGCGTACTGCATGGTGCTGTTGATAAAAAGCCACTCTTGAGAGGTAGGAGTTATCTTAAAAGAAGGCTGAACAGTAAGCATCCGGGCTTACCTTGGCACCAAGTCTGTGTTCTAAAGTCTAGGAATGCATTACTGAAGGTAAGTGAGTTTTCTGTGATGAAATGGGATAACAATTCTGTACTAGAATTGCATTGCACCTGTATTTTTTGGGTTTCTGATACTTGGTTTAGGAATCAAAATGTTAATTTGGGAAGGACAGAAGTTACAGGACTTGATGTGTACTAGTCTATTAGAATACTTGACTTACCGGATACTTAAGGTTAAGTTTCTACCAATAAAGCACTTAAATTTCATTGTCAAACACACATTGCTGATAATATTCAAATATTTTCTTAATTTTAATGTTTTCTTGAGGTACAGCTTCCTTATAATATGCAGTTACTTATCCATCTTACTGTTTTGTATTTTACACAAGTCAATACCAGGCGCTGAAGTGCTGCAAAGATCTGTTTTAGCTGTCTTTATTCTGGCAGCTGCTCGGAGTGAGCTGCATGTAAGTATGTATCTTTCGCATCAGCTTATGCTGGTGTACTGGTTATATGATGTGTCTTTAGGATTAGAGAGTATAGATAATTATTATTTTCAACCTTCCAGTCTCTTTGGAACAATAAAAATCAATTAACTTGTGATAGCGTTATCACATCAGAAATACACAGAAGGAAGCAGTAGTGTGTAGTGGTAGATCTACTGAATAGATCTTTTGAAGGTTGTTTTGAATATTTAAAGGCTTAAGATGCAAGTGTTGACGTTTATGTGACTATCCAAACAAGGGATGCTACTGGGAGTGGATTTTTCAAAAGGATATATTTAGTGGAAGCTGTTCTAGTTTATTTAAATGTTTTTGAAGATTTAATTAATCCTTCCAAATGTCTGAAATTTCTGGCTTGGTGTTCCTACCATTATTTTTATATATATATATATATACACATACACATTATAAAATATATAAATATACATTTGTAAAAAATTAATTTAGGAGGCTTTTGCTTTGAGCTACTTTGCTGTGGATCAGGTTGCCTTAGCAAGTGAGTGCCCTGGTGGGAGCATTTCTTTCAGAGGGAAAAGTCTTTTTACTCTTAAAGAAAACATCTTATTTTGCCATTAACCTTCTGGCTTCTGTAGGAAGAAAAGGACAGAGGATCAAGTAGCGAACTGTTAATGTGGAGGTGTGTGATGCTTTTAGTTTTTATTTCTCAGTTTTCACGTGGAAGAGATGAAGAAGCCTTTCTGCAGAAGGCAGAGGTAGGGATGTAAAACGCTGTGAACACAGAAATCTTTCAGTTAGTGTTTCTCAGGGTTTGTGTCACAGAACAAATTGAGGTTACACGAGCGAGGAAATAAATGGAGTAAATGTGGATGTCACTTAAACTGCTAAAGCTTTCTAAAGGAGAAGAGCCGGCCTTTGGCAAAGGGTTTCTGTCTGGCTTCCATCGTGAATGAGAGGCTCACACTTGGGAAATTATTTGGGGATAGCTGTCAGGTCTGCGTCTCTTTTGGGGGTTACTGTGGTGGGTTGAATCAGATCTTCTGGAAGCAGCTCCTGAAATCTCTTGTGCATTGGGGAAAACCAACTTTGCCGCCCTGTTATCTTGGTGTACGCCACATCTGCCATTCAGCACATCCCTGGCCAGCAGAAAGTGAAAGAATTTGGAAGCTGGTGCAGTGGGCAGCTGAGGCAGGGCTGTTGCCAGTCCGCCTGCCCTGAGTCGTGGCCTCTGGGGCCTTTGTGTGTGTGTCGGTCCCTGTTTGGGTGGTGGAGATGATCCTTGTCTTCTCCAAGGCTTTCTCTGGTTTGACCCTGGCGACCTGCTTACCTGCTGCTCGGTGTTAGGGGGGTGTCAGCTGTGGTTGAGGCTGGTTTATGTTGTTGTAATATGGTGGGCTAGAAAATAGCTTTTCTTTGTCCACCCTGTCCTGTGCTAGATGGAGGAAGAGATTATTGGAGAAAAAAAAATGTGGGTTTTTTTTTGTTTGTTTGTTTATTTGTTTAATGTCTTGGGGTTTTTTCCTCCAATCTCTATTCTGGAGGAATACAAAATAACACAATTTGGTTTCCCTCTAGGACATAGTTTTGGCTGGACTCACAACGCTCCATTTTACTAAAAACGTGTTCTTATGCCCTTTAAATAGCCATGAAATGCTAATATGTTTCTACTTTTAAGTAAGAGGAACTTTCATACAAACCCCCAAATTTGTTTGGAGGGGAAAAAGTGCCTATTTTATTAAATATAGTATATTTCAGACCGAGTTATCCTTTTGTTTCTGTTTCATTTTGTTTTGCATTACTTTTAGTTTTTATTTCCATTTCACCTGGCAAAACAATGGTTCCTAACGATAATAAAAATTAGAATACCCTGTTGGTACATAAAAACTTTTTTTTTTTTGTGGTAATGTATGAAAACTCTGAAGTCAATAGTATTTTGACTTCTATGCATGTCATCACACATTTGGAGTTTATCTACACCACAGATCACAAGATAATGTTATCTGCATCCGTAGGAGACACGCTCATTAAGTGGCTCCATTCATCGTTTCTCAGCAAAACAATCATTGCTGGTGGCAACAGAAAATCATGAAAATACGAGATTTTTGTATCAGTATGTTTTTAGCACGCCTCTTGAGTACAATGGTATGGGTTTGCTGTGAGTTGTTTTTTTTTTTTTTAACCTCTCCCTAATTGGAATTTTCTGGTAAAGAGTTTCTGTTTCCAGTCACTAAAGTAATTGCTGGCCCCGTCCTCAGCATTTCAGCTTCTGAAAATACATCTTGTGCCTCGTCTGCAATTTTCAGCTTCTGAAGAAGGTGTGGTGGTTGCTCACAGAAGACTTCCAGGATATATACGCTGTTTGAAAGTAAAACGAAAGTAAAAAATAGTGGGCACCAAATACTCGTAGGGCTGCTCTGGGAAAAGGCAGCTGCTTCCACCCTTGAAAAAGGAGGGATTTGTTAAACTCTTGCATTATTGTGGACAAGAGAGAGGTTTGACTATTTTTGACGAACGGGAGGGAGAAGCAGTGGGCAATCTTGCAGAGCACCGTTTCTGGGAGCATGAATAGGGGGTGCTCTTGTGGGTAGCTTTCTCCAGAGCCACATTGGATGTGCAGATGAACACAAATTTGAGGTGTGAGTGTCCAGCAGCAGTGCCACATGTGCTAATGTAATATATGCACTCTCTAATGTATTTGTACTCTCTAATGTAATATGTGCATTCTCTACCTTCGACCTGTAGCCACGGAAGTGTGATAACAGTTGCCTGTTGAAATAAATACCTAGCCAACCATGTGAGAATAAACTATTTTTTCTTATAACTGTCCTTAGTCAGGCTTTATGATTTATGCAGAGTTACAGTGTTTCCCTGTGGAACATGGATGGAGGATGAGGATGGAAGTGCCCTTTCTATTCCCTTTTACTTGTGGCATGTCAGCTCTGTACAGAATTTGTCAGACTTCAAGATAAAGTTCCTGAAAACTGATGCAAAATTACTGCCCTTTTAATGCTCCTGTATCCCACAGAATCTTCTAGTTCCTGTCACCCCTGAAATAAAGCAGGGAGCCACAGCCAGAAGACCTTTATCCTGGGACTAATATGGGTTTGTGTATAGGCATATACATATAGTTTTGTGTTATTGCTGCATTTATCACAGAATCACACAGAATATTCACGGTTTGAAGGGACCTTTGAGATCATGGAGTCCAACCACAAAAAAAAACCAAACCAAAAAACCCCACCAAAAACCACCCACACCACACCCACAGACGGACACAAACCAATAATCTCGGGCACTAGAGGATGCCCTGAAGCGCCACGTCTACACGTTTCTTAAATACCTCCAGGGATGGTGACTCCACCACCTCCCTGGGCAGGCTCTTCCAGAGCCTGACCACTCTCTCAGTAAAGTAATTCTTCCTGATATCTAATCTAAACCTCCCCTGCCACAACTTCAGACCATTTGCTCCGGTTCTGTCATTATTCCTTTGGGAGAAAAGGCCAACCCCCACCTCTCTACAACCTCCTTTCAGGTAGTTGTAGAGGGCAATGAGGTCTCCCCTCAGCCTCCTCCAAAATCATTGGGAGGTCTTCAGGCAATTATCATTGCCTTAAGATATAATTGTATTTGCAAAGACCCGTCATCAGTCCGTTGGCGGCCTTCACAGTACCCGGCGGTGTTGGACGATGAACATCTGCCTCGTTTAAACCTTCCCACAGAAATATCAGCCAGATAAAGGGGTGGAGATAAAACCCCTTAATAATCCCACTTGCGGTGGGGGAAATACAGCAGCCGAAATAGCTCAGTTGGGAGAGCGTTAGACTGAAGATCTAAAGGTCCCTGGTTCGATCCCGGGTTTCGGCAGATGCTTTGTTTTCCATTCCTCTCATTTTTTTTTTACGCGAGGTG